GCTACTCTTAGCAGTGCATATAGATAGAAGCAGAGCAAATTATTCTAATAATGATTTGCCACATTTAACGTTACTAGTCGCTTTACAAAAACAAATCAATATATATATATCAGTATTATTATTTGTACAATGAAGTTACAGTTTCTAGATCTTTTTCTGTTTTTTTTTTTTTTTTTTTTTGTCTATTTTTTTGCACAAGTATTATTAAAACAGTTATAATGCATGTACACAAATACACTCACTGACATTATTTGCTTGAATTCGTATATTTTAATAGATTTTACACATAGTCATGCCTTTATATTATTTGAAAAAAAAAAGAAAAAAAACATCTTTCAAAAACAACTTGGCAAACTTTTAATATCGTTTCTACCGTACGTACATAAATATAAAGTGTATCTCTATTCCCACATATATGATACATGCAATTCACATGCAATCACAGTTTTACTATAGCATATTAAACTAAATCTTTTCGATTGTTACAATCACTTCGTCTTCTTCTTCTTCTTCATCGTTCTTCGCTTTTATGCACATTTGCATTCATTCAATTGCGGATGCGCAACACATTATGTATCCGCTAACAAATAGCGTTTGTTTTCACAATATTTATTATGTATTATGAATTCATGTTACTGAGTGACTGACTCTCTGGAGCTTATATATATATATATATATATATATATTTTTTTTTTTTTATTTACAAATGTTATTTAAAATCTTGATTTATTGCATTAAGAAACCAAGAAAAAAAAAAACAATTAAATTTTGTTCACGAATTTTTAAATTTTATTCCAAAGAAGAAGGCTGAGGACTATTACTCTACTACCAATCTTATCTTGATTGAAGGTTGCAGCAACAAGAATTGGCATCGTCTTTGGACAATTCCACTTCTACTTATTCTAACATAATATTTATGCTATTTATTTAGCTGCATTTACTTTAGCTGTATAACTATCTGCTGGAATTTATTTTCAACTGATGTTAACCTTCACTCTCTACGAACTTGCACAATATTACACTTAAGAGTAAAATATTGATTTGATGTAATGTTTTTATGTATACGTATATGTATGTATGCGAGGTCTATGGGAAAGTTTTGGCCACAATTTTCGACACGTAAGCACATGGCGTTATTTGGTGCATGTTCTGTCTCTCTATTTGCATCGTTTAATGTATACATACTGACCTAGGAAATTAACTAAAACAAAGATGATTTACACTTAAGACTAAGTGTGAAGCGCTAGTGTACCCATGGCTACGGATAAAGTTCATTTACGCCCCTAGTTCCTTGTACGAATTTCAACAAGAAAGAAATGCTATAGAAGCATCTAGAAATTGTTTGAAAGTGTTTGGTGAAAATACACCGTCTGATAGGACACGAAGATGATGATTCGAAAAATTTGAGACAGACAATTTCGATCTTTTCTGACAAACGACGATGTTATTAAGCAAATTTCCTCTGACAACATAACATCAGAGATCGCAGAAAGGCTTAATTCAGCTCAGCAAAGCATTTCGTCGGACCACATTCGAAAGATAAGATTGGTGATTTGTATTTCGTTTTATTCCAAATAAAAACGGGCAGAACTTTCCAGCAAACCTCATATTAAATAAATAAATAAATAAATGTATATATATATGTAAAATCTCTCCAACTTGCTGCTGGGTCAGAGGTTAAATAAGGCAAGTTTTCTCTGCAAAATTCACGTTAGAATTCGTAAGTTCACTCTAGCGCCAATAGGTTGTTCTTGTAATATTCCGAGCAACATCGAACGAATACCTTACAAAATTGCAAATCAATTAATTTTACTTATAATGCACAGAAATGTTAATAATATTGAAAGTATTAATGTCTTCGATAAAATTATGATCGCAACTTGTTGGCTACGTGTGTTCTACCCTCGAATTAGATATATTGGTGTTTCTATTAGTAGTTGGGATGAAATGAAATTGTGGCCTCTTGAGAATATCACTATTTTGCAAATTTTAGTTTTCTAAATCTTTAAGATCTAGAATAGCACTAATTAAATAATAACACGGATGCTCGTCCACAATCGGTTACTTAGTCGAGCTTTCAATTTAATTCACATTTTTGCCTTATTTCACACTTATTTTCTTTATCTTAACTATAAATGTCAATATATGCAAAGCATCTAACTGCTGCTGACTATACTTAAAGCTATCATTTTGCATTAAATATTAAGGAAAAAAGCAAAAAAAAAAAAAAACAAACAACTTCAAGTGCTGCATTAATGTCTTACACTTAGTTATCGCAACTCAAGATCATGTTTAAATGCACAAAGATAATTCAATTATAATAAACAGATTTGAATAAATTTCTTTAAAGCCTTTTGTTTGTTATAACACACACACTGTGTCATATAATAAAACTTGATTACCTTTAGTGAGAGTAACATCTTCGAGACATTATTTATTTTTATTTTTTGTTTATTGTTATTTTTTTATTTTTTCTCTAAACTCATCAATTATTTCATGGCTTTTTAATCATTAAAAGGCCTCACCTTAAATATTTTATAACATTTTAAGATAATAATAATAAAAATGCCGTTTTTTCTATACTTAGATATCTACAATAACATCATGCAGACCACATATATATATATATACATATATACACATATATATACATTTCATTAACATTAATATTATCTTAAAGTTTCATCATTATGTTAGAATCGATTCACTACCGCACTCAAGTACGATTAAAATTAATTGTAATTATTTATCTTGGCAAAGTAGTCTTTAAACAGATTTTTATAACCGCCAACGAGATGGTTTGGAGTTATATGATTGTTGTGATTTTGTAAAAATCTTTATAAAAAACAAAAGCAAGCCTTCAGAAACCTTCTAAAATCGTGTGTGTTCTTGATCAGCTATTGTTTGTCCGTGTGCCTGCATGTGTAAAGTATAATGCAAACGTATTATAAAACATCAAGGCATTATGCTATTTATCTCATATGTGGGCTCTCTGAAGGCGCACTCCTTATATTTAAGTTCAATTACGAATGATTATAAGCATTTCCCTTCTTTTTATACCCCATGTTTTCTTATTGTGAGAAGAGGTATTTAACTATGCGTAAATGTATGCAACATTTTGAATAGCTTCAACGATCGTATTTGATCCAAAGAGAATTCTGATTGGAAATGAATTCGTACAGATACTTTTTACAACCCAACCGATCCCCGTTTAAAGCTGCAAAAATTGCAGTTTTTAATAACCTAGAAAAACAAGTATTGTCTGTCATAAAAAAGAACGAGACAATTTCCTATATTCCTACCAAAATTTATCTCCTATATGGAAACTCTAGTCTAATTTTTAGTAACTTACGTAGAAGATTGATCTAAAATACGGATCTATTATCTTAATGCATTTTACTAAGTTTGGATAATTTTTGGAACGTCCGTCCACATAACGATACTTGTGATCTAATTTTGAATGAATTATGACTTAAATCAGGGATAAACAATTAAGAAGATTATATTCGGCTGAAGCCACAAACATTAAAATGTTTAGCTCGCCAAGCTTTTGTTTATTATCACTAAAAAATGAATGAAAAAAAACTTATCTTTCATGTTTCGTATTATTAAAAAAATTTAATCCACCATGTCGTGACGCTAATGAATGCACTTAGCTTTTCGCATTCTGTTCTTCAAGTCCTTTCATGTGATGCCCATATCAAAAGGATTGTGACCAAAAATGCCCATCATAATTAATTCGGAATTGACACACTTATCTGGTCGCCTTCTATTGTCCGAACTCTTTTATTTAAAAAAAGAAATCTATCAGTTCAAGGTGTCCACCATACTTATTTTAGAATTCACGTATTTTTAGGCAGTTATCTTAATTTAAAGTAATAGTTTTGAACATTTTCGCCTTATTTACTATACGATTAGTAAACACATAACCTCAAAAAAGTGAAGAAAAAACAAAATACACATAAATAGTAGGATTTGCCGTACAATGATTGTGGAAAAATACCATTCTTCTCTCTTTCATAATTTGCAAGTAGTAAACAAATCTTGGAAATTTTTATTTAGAGAATTTGAGTTACTTCCAATGTCCTCCGACCAATTTGCCCCATTTTGAATACCAAACAGCTTGCATAAATTTCTGCCATATTTGAAATGGATCTCCTCGACCGAGAGAGTGAGAGAAACATATAAAACACCCGGACGGACAGACATGGATCAATCAATTCAGAATTCACTTCATAGAGTTTTTGAAGTTTCCCGGACCCCTTGTGGGTATAACAATAAATTATTCTTTACTGGACGGTCTACCCTTTGCCTTGGAATCGGTTTTAAAGAACACATAAAGTTAATATACTCGTAAGAATTTGTTAGCTGCGTTTCTTTTTCGTAAACCTACAATTGCAAAAATTCTCAGGAATCGTACGATTACAAGCTTAAAAAAAAAGAGAGAGAGAGAGAGACAGAGAGAATAAGTAAACTTACAGATTGCGGCAGATCTTCATCAACTGGACCTGTGCACATTTAAGAAAAATGGCTTAAGTTTTGAAAACACATAACTTTCTCACTCATTGTGGGCAAAAAAAATTTTTAATCTCCACACGAACGAAATAAAATTCAAAAATAATAAAGCCGCCATTAAATAATTGTCTCCAGATTATATAAAATATTTAAAACATACAACTCGACCCACACACAATTGTTGTAAAGTAAAGTCATTTCAAGTAAAACTCTGCATCATACTTAGTTTGTGGCCGAAAATGTTTTGTTAAATGTTTTTAAATCCATTCAATACCTTGCAAAAGTTTAACTAAATATCCCACAAATCGTGTGAAACTTAATCCGAATCAAAGAGCATTTGTGCTTCTCTACTCACTCCAACTCTTTAAGCTTGACGTTCGGTAACGGTATTTGAAATCCTTACTTATTAAAATATATATTTACTATTTTTTAATGTTAGTAATTTTTTTTTTTTTTTTTTTTTTTCTTTTTTTTGTCTAACTTACCGGTAATTAAAAGAAATCCAACAATGATAAACAATATCGTAGATATCCTCGGTAGCATTTTGTTTAATAAAAAATTTGTTTTTTTTTGTTTTGTTTTTTTTCTGCTAATTTATTAACTTCCCGAAGGCAATTAACCCAGTATGCTATATAAAGCTGGATGTGTTGTAATTAAAAATAAAAAAAAAAAAAACAAAAAAAAAAAATTGCCTTAATGTGTGTGCGTAAAAGAGGAAAAATTCAACATAAAATATATTTTCTTTCACAATTAAGTTAACGTCTAATAATAAAGACTATTGTATTAATGTAAAATTTTTCTTTAGAAATGAAAAAAAGCAAAATGCACACACCGCCGATAGTCAACATAAGGAATTATGCAATAAAACTTAAAAATGAGTCTGCGGAAAACTAAAAACAAGTAATTCAACAACAACAATAACAACAACAACGGCAAAGAAAAACAGTTTAATGTTGTCAAAGGCTAGAAACGTTAGATATTTTCAAGCCGAAATTGTTTTAGTCAATTGAGGCGGCGACTACACTGGCTCTCAAATCAGGTATTGTTGTCGTCTATTTTTTTTATTTTCTTTTTTTTTTGGATAAGATGTGTATGTGCCCATAATAGTCAAAATACCGCTTAATCATGATTCTCACACATTGTCGGTCTCTGAATTGAACGCTGTGTTCAGCGCGCAGAGTACGAGAGTACGAGAGAGAGAGCGAGAGCGAGAGCGAGATGAAGAGAAAGAAATGTTGTAGTTTAACCGAAAGCTGATGATATTCAGTGATTCTTTTAACGCGCGTCACCTCTCACTACTGTATATTTTGCCGATAATTTGGGAAGTTGCTCAAAATCGCTGATACTACGCATACGTATTTATAGATGTCATAGGTACTTGAGCTTAAACCGGTTATGTAGACTATTTTATCGTTTTGATTTTACTTCTTTTTTTTTTGTTTTATTTTGTAATTTTTTGGAAATTTTTTTTTTCATTCGATATATATTTTCTTATTTATTCGCGCCGATTGGTGAATATTTAATCGAAATGACCTTTTATATATATATATATATAGTTTAATACGTTTGTGGGCACTTTCAATTCAAGTTCTCATTAACAAGGTTATAATATTTCTCTGGTAGAAAATTAAAATAAGATAAAAAAAATTATGTTTTATTTTTCAAATTTTTAATTAAAAAAAAAAAAGTATTTTCTCACGCACATGCATACACTTCTACCTATAAGATAATTGCACTTTAATCAATTTGAAGGTATTACATCATTTTGAATTATACTGGATATATTGGTACATATATATATATATATATATATATATAATTTTTCGTTTTTTTTTTTTTTTTTTTTTTTTATAATTAAGTTTTTAAAAAAATAATGTTTATTTTTTTTTTGCTAGAGCATTTAACTTTTTTTTATTAGTTAAAAAAAAAAAACAAAAAAAAAAAAAAAAAAACTTCTTTTTTGATTTGTGTCGTTTTAAACTTGTTGTTGATTGCAAAGCATAAAGTTGCTGCTGCTACCTTCAAGTCAGCAGCGGTTAGAGATGCTGTAATATTCTCAAATCGATTTCAATGGAAACCGAAACGAAAACTCGATTAGTTTAAGATATTTGTAAATCTCTTTTACACGTAAAATTCTCTCTCTCGACTGACTGACTATATTTGTTTAATTTGTTTCAATCATTTGCTTTTCTCTATCTTCTTCGAAAAATTAAGAAAATCCGCGAAAATATTCACATGCCTTACATTCCGTTATTTACTTTAAAGGTTTATAGTGCTCAACAGTCCGATACATACTGATTGCAGTGATTTTCTTGATTTTTGTAATTCGTAAACTTTTTCATAAACAAAAAAAAAAAAAAAAAAAAAAAAAATTTTTTTTTTTTTATACAACACACAGTCAGTTAAATAAAAACATGTTGTGTTTTGCTCATACAATAAGAAAACGTAAACTTCAAGTTTGTTTCTTAAGTCTTTCGTTGTGCTTAGTTAAAGTTTTTGTTGTTTTCTTCATTTATCGACTCATTTGTTATTTGTTGCTTGTTTGTCTCAAAATTTTTGTTATGATTTTTTTGTTTTGTTTTGCTATTGTTTTCTCCTTTATATACTAAAAGTCGTGCCTCCAAAATCTTTTACTTACTTTACTTTAAAGTAAAAAAAAAAAAAAAAAAACAAAAGAAAGTAAAAAAGAAAATATATCAAAGTAAAATATAAATGTAATGAAATGAAAATTAGGTCGAAATGAAAACTGATCACCTTAGTAATTAAAAAGTGAAAAAAAGAAAAGGAAGAAGAAGAAGAAGAGAAATTCATAAGTTTTTCACGACTTATACTTATACACGTGAAAGAGCAATATTCATTTGAATTGTCTCTGTTACATCATACTTTACAATCAATTTAAGTTCAAGACATAAGACGTCACGAATCAAATTTTCATTGCACGTAACATTTGTTAAACTTTCATCGGAATCGATTTAACTCCACCCGTTATGTGTACTCCTAAACTATATATATATCAATCATAAGCGAAATTTATCTGTACATCTACTTACGCACAATCAGCGAAAATGTTCAATGTCCTCTGTTAACCATGCTAGATAGTATTTCGGCCATTAATTTATTAAGAAAATTTACTATACCTTACGCGGATATAATGCGGAATGTGTGTGCGTGCATTTATTTCATTATGGTAATAATCAAGTAAACAGCGTCATGTTTATGCTTGGGCAATATTGCTATATATTTTATATTACTATCATACGAAACGTTTAACATTTTGTATTAGCTTTACCCGATATATGCTATATATGGTATTCAGCATGAGAGTATTAATAGATTACGTTTAAAACTTTTGTCAGCAGATTGAAACTTAAACAATATTAGGTCATTTTTCTTTATGACATTCAACCATCGGTCCGGAGAGCAAGGCGAAACACTTAAGTGCCAGCACAAGCAGCTTAGTTACCAAACTCAAATCCTTCGGATTAGCAATTGTTTGCATTGATGGGGAGCATATATTTCCCAAATATCGCCCTAATCTTTGCAATGATGGGATCGCCTCAAAAAAGCTACTGTTTGCTTGTCGCGGCATTCATAAATTGAAAGCAGTCTGCAGCTGTTGATGGGCAATACTTGGAATACAATATGTTTTCTTAACATTTTCATATCCGTTTTCATAAGTCCGGGTTCATATTTACATATTTAATAAAGTCAAAAATTACAATATAATTAACTAAAATAATATCAAAGTTAAATTTTAATCTTCAGTCATCTTGAAAGTTATAAACACATTATTCCAACATCTTCGTCATATTCTTAATTAAAATGATTGTGTGCATAATTAAAAATAATCACTGATGATTAACATTAATTTAAAAGCACTTGTGAGAAATATTTTTGTCGACTTTACAGATATAAGATAGTTATATACAAAAGACTGCACAGAACGCGCAGAATCAATGCAAGTTTTGTTTGATTTTCAGATTAACCTTCGAAGTTTCATTCAATTAAAAAAAATTTTGTGAAAATTAATTTAAAAAAATTCATGACTATTTTTTTTATATATAAGAACATAAAAAACAAGTTGACGTCATATATAAATATGCCGAAGACGAATTGTTGAATAACTTACGACAATCAACTCATTGTACCACGAGATCCTATTAGTACTGAAGCGTAGGAAATTTTTTAACAAGACTTTGATCCCTTACATTTAGAAGAAAGCTTTCTGGTTACCTAACTAATTCTCATAGAATTGCTTGTGGTATTCATAGTCAAACAATCTTTGCGGTCATAGTGTAATGAACTTCCTTACAGCTAATCTACTAATCCTTCTGATCCACTTATTAGCTCTATGTACATGCATGTGATCTGTACATTCAAAGAAAAGCTAGAGCTTACGATTAAGCTTGAGATTCTTGGCAAATGCGAAATTCAATTACATTGTGAAGGTAGAATTAACAAAAAAAAAAAAACCCGATAGATATGATGTTTTTTATTTACAAAAAGGCCTGTTGCGTGTATCCATTGCTCTCTCTCTCGTTGTTCTTAAGTTCTCAATTTTTGAATTTTCGAATAACTTATTCCACTTTCGGTAGGACGAAGAGAGATTTTCTGTTACACACCATAATTTAGCTGAAGGATGGGTAGCTTCATTGGAAATATGAAAAAAATCAGTAAAGTTTATTGAATGGTAGGTGTCCGACAAAATATCGAAATACAAAAGAGGGCTTCTAAGTTCTATTGAACTCAAGTCTATCTCTGCTTACTCAAATTCTACGCTCTAATGGCTCGTTTAGGAATTCTAGATAATTCCTCATAATCATCGGACATAGAGTCACCCTGATTAGAATTTCGGAGCAATTATTCTATTCAAGGAATATTCACACTTTAATATGCTGTTTCTGGTTACTGCGAAGTGTGCCAAGCCGTCTCATTGTTCTGCTTCTTTTTTTTTAATTAAAAGTATTTTATAGGCAGATTGGTGTTCTCTTCGTAAAATACATTACATTAATTATATCCACCACTGAAGGACCAGGGTGCACTCATTTTGTTTTATATCATAATGTATAGAAAAGAAGCCAACCCAAAAAGAAGCTTCAGAAACCCTATAAAGTGTATATATATTCTCGATCAACGTGACCTCCTGGTGTCTGTCAACGTGACCTTTTGGTGTCTGAAGTTAGTTATTGGCACTGTCCTGGTCGCAAAAATGAAGACTTTGACTTCAAATTTCGTAGAAAGATTGCAAGTTTTTATATGCAGGTTGGATATAAAAACTGAGCCAAACTCGTCGGAGCAGAAGCCCGCAGTTGAGCACAAACTGAAGGCCACTTTCTCTTTTTCTATCAAAAATTTGTGATTTTTTTGCTCGTTACTCAGAAATCATAAATGTTAGAAGGCTGATAGGACCCTCTACGCTTTATGAGCAAAAATGGGAAAAATCGGCCATGCCCACATTCTTGTTTTCATTTTTTTTTTTTTCATTTTTTTTTTTTTTTTTTTTTTATGCTTAAGGCAAAGAACTATTTTGTACATTTGTCAAATGAAGATATATTATCTGCCTAACAATGGGTTAATTCTAAAACGAATATTATAGGCAACGCGGATTGGTGGATTAATTTTTTCTCAATAATACCAGCGTGTTATGGGTATCAAATAAAAGGATTTTTAAGACTAGAATGCGAAAAGCATAGTGATGGGTACGCGAAATTCGTTAATCGCTGCATATTACTTTCTTACTTGTTTTTTCATTTATTTTTTTATCACTTTTCTTATTTAGTATTTTAGTTTTGGAAATTTGTTTTTTTTTTTTTCATTTTTTGTATAGCCAATGATGTTCTTATTGGTTTTTCCCAATTATGAGGTTGAAGACATTTTATTTTAACAAATCTTACTTGTACGGATTTGCCATCACAAGGTCATACTCTTCACCAGTTTGGTGCCTCTGCTTTTGACGTAAATTCGCTGTGAAACGCTATATAGTATTATTATTATTATTATTATTTCAAAAGCATGAGAATTCTTTTTTTTTTTTTTTTTTTTTTTTTTTTTTTTTTTTTTTTTTTTTTTTGTATTTTTCGTCACAGCATGATGAGCTTTGCAACGTTTAATTTATGTTAAGCTATACTTCTCAGTAAAGTAAGCAAAACCATTACAGTTCAGTTAACATCTCGAAAAAAAATGAAATTTAAAAACAAAAAAAAAAACAATACCAACCAAGAATTGATCAAACTGTGAAGAATATTGTGTAAATTTTATACAAAATTATAAATATCGAAAGCGTATGCTGTTCTTACATACAGTTTCATGACTATTTGACATAAAGTACATTAAGATGAAAATTCGTGCTTAACGAATCAAGGTTTTAAAAAATCAATCTGATTACTTTACGAAAATTTTCAATTTCAAATTCATTGAGACTATATAATTATATTTGCAGTTTGAATGAATGGTAAGAACATATTTCGATAAAATTATCAAACGAATTGAATTGAATATTGTAGACCTGGTTGGCCCACTATTACGGCAAAGTAAATAAAAATGCTTCAAGGAGATGCATAAAATATCTGTGTGGTTCTCATCGGTTCGTATGAAATTCGACTCGAATATATATGAATTTTGCTAATTCTCTTTTTACACGATAGACATATATGTTCGCAAAAAAAATGTTCGTGTAAAAAAAGATAATGATTAAATTGGAAAAATAGTAGATTGATACCAGATCTAAAAAAGCAACTGAAAAGTGCAATAAACAATATTGAGAAATTCTTATCAGAATTTATTTACAAATTTATTTCATGCTTACGCATATTAATTCATTAAACTAAATTAAAGTGCATATAAAATACATTACGTCTTTACTCTTTTTATCAATTCGTTGTAAAAAAAATATAAAGCGAAGTTACAATGCATATGTGTGAAAAAATTCATTAAAAAAAAAAAACTTCAATATTTTTAAAAAAAATTCATAGAATATTGAAAATCATGTTAAAATAAAATAATTCGTGTAAAAAGAGAATAATTTTTTCTTTAAACAAATTTCGTGTAAAACGAGAATTGCTTTTTCATTTTAACTCGTGCTAAACCAAATTTTTCGTAAAAAGAGAGTTATTATTATTTTGTCGTTTTAACTCGAATTAAAATAAATTTCGTGTAAAAAGAGAATTAAGTATTTTGCATTTATCGAAGAAACAAATAAGTGGGCGAAGAAAGGCATATATAAATTTCGATTAAAAAAGTTGTAGAAAATGATGACAAGAATTTTAATTAATATATGTTGAGCCAATTTTTCCCAAATAAAAAATTATCAGAATACATGCAAGCATCTATTAAAATAAAATTGTAGTCTTTTCAACTAAATAATTAATATTTGTTTTGATGAGACTTTGCGCTTATATCCGTAACCAATTATCGTTAACATTATAATTTTTTTTTTTTTTTTAATTTAAGGAAATCAAATCAATGGAAATCCAATTGGAAGAATACGCCACAAAAACTACGGAAGACATTTCTAATTATTTTCTATTTTTACACGGTGTTCTGCAGAACGAGGAGAAACGGATTGCCGATAAATTTAAGAAATCGTGCAATGAACCTCAACAGATGTTGACAAAAACATTCCGCAAATTGGCTGAATCTCAAGAAGTTTTAAACGTGAGTTCATTTCATATTAAAGTAAATTGATAGTCGACTATTGATTCATTCATTCATTAATTGATTCACAATTCTTTGTCAGTGAATAATTATCATATATGTCGATCCATTTGTAATATTTAGAAAATAGCATCGAAGATATATTATTGTGTACGAGAAAGTTATGTACATTTCTGCCCACGAGGGAAGGGGGGGATATGTTTCAGGCAATGTGACGATGATTGTAAGATAAAAGCAAATCCACGATTGCTATAAAATTGATTGAAGAAACGTGTAAAAATAATAAGCGTTTATTTGGCATTTGAAAAAAAAACAAAATCAAGCCATATAAAACATAAGTCCGCCTTTCATTTTCACTTTTGCTAAGAAATTGCTTACTTCGAAATTGAGCCGATAGTCTTAGTTGGTAATGTTCGTGCTGCTTTTAGGCTTGGAATTTATTTCCTTGGTCTAAATGAATTGTAATAAAAATTGCGTAAATTGAAAATGAGTGAATTTTATACCCATCACGAGACTCAAGAAGTGGAAGTAAAGTAGGATCACAACTCAATTCGTAATATGATTAATTGCCTACTAAAATGGAACCATTGTCTTGACTTATTACAAGATTCTTGTTCGCGGTAAGAATTGACACCATAACGGTGAAAATTGATCTAATCCTTCGATGAGTTAGGATCTAATTTGTTTTTTTTTCTCCCATCATCAAAGTATGGGCGGTATTCTCATTCTTTCTCTGTCAAAACGTTTGCAATGCCCAAAAAGGAAGCACCAGAGGCCCCCCAAAGTGCATATATTCTTGAACAGCATCAAATTCTAAATCGATTTAAACATGTCCGTCTGTCCGTTTGTGCAATATCTGTTATCAACTTCTTATGGCTGTAAAAATGAAATAAAATTTGGCAAAAATATTGAAAGTTCTTGCACATAGGTTGGTACTAAAACTGATCCAAATTGGGCGCAGGACACGCCCATAGCACCATGTCAACTGGGAAAACCTCTGTTTTTCAAAAGGTAAAAAATTGATTTTCTTACTCATTACTCCTAAACTATATCAGATAAATGTACAAAAGCTTGAATGTATATTCTATGGGTGATACTGTAGTACCTGTACTAAAATCGAAAATATCGACCACACCCAGCGAATATAGTGCACCAAAATTTATTTCTTCGTTAAAAGGTGCAGGAACGAGCTTCAAAAACTCCATAAAGTACATTAATTCTTGGAAGTTTCTAAAATTTGAAATGCATCTAAACATGGCCGTCTATTCATCTGTCCACTTGTGTTAAACACGCCTACAACGCCAATATTTTTTTTTTTTTTGAAAATAGAAAAAATCAGCCACGGCTACTGCAAAATTTAGTTCTCTTTTAAGATAACTGTGATGGGTATAAAACATTCGGTCACGGCTGAATGTAATTTTCTTACAAACTTTGTTTTGTTTTTTGTTCTTTTTTTATAATCGGAACGAAAATGAGTGTTTGGTTTTTTCGTAACTTCAAAAATAGGAATATTGCAGTTTGTGAAACGTGCATTTCCAGCCGCTAAATTATTTTAATAAAATCACCTATACGTGCATTCTTTTCTTTATATAGAGCATGCGTACAAATTTAGAAGAGTACCACGAAAAGCCACCATTTGATGTAAATTTGCGTACCGTTGTTTATATTTGCAATAAACAATTAGAAAAAATCCCTTGCCGTTTACAAGTTACCAAGATACAAGATAATCCTTTCAGGTGGGTTCAATCTAAACCATTCTTAATTTTTAAGAAAAATTTTAAATTTATTTAAACTTTAAATGAAAATTTATTATTAAAAAGGGAGTTTGGTTTGTTAATGATCGAAGATGACTACTAACGAAGACAACGACATATATTGTTATTCTTGACTGGTATCAATAAGAAAATCAATTGAAATGTCTTTGTCTATCCGTCTATCCATCTGTCCGTTTGTTAAAATCGCATTTTTTGTCTACCCTTCTATCCATCTGTCCGTTTGTTAAAATCGCATTTAAAATTATTTCGCAACTTGTCTTTTGATTCTCATTAGATTTTAGAGTAACATGGGTTTGACGAGATATAACTTAAAATATGCAATATAGTAGTGTTGGGGGTGGGTATTAAGTATTAATTCATTCAAGAATCGAACATAACTTCATAACTTCATTGAAGTAATTTTCTTTTCTAATATACTTCAGATTTGATATAAAGAAAACCACTTTCGAAGATTTACAACAATATTATAATTACTCTTATACGGATCCAAAAATATCTATTAAACTTGGTGTTTTCCGTGAAGACACCAATTCCATATTAAAGTCATCTATGCTTTTTGATAAAAACGTAATCGCACAATATTCTCAAAAAGACTGTACTACTACTGCTACTACTACTACTACTACTACTACAAAGAAGAAAAATAAAAATCATAAAAGAAATAAACAGATGAAATCATCGAACAGTAATAGTATTTCTGATAGTACGGATTCGTTAAGAGAGGACAGCGGATCTGGAACATCCATTTTAGATGACGTAAAGATCGCATCTTTTGTAGCAGAAAACTCAATGGAACATCATATCAATGTTCGACTTACACATATTCAATCACCGAATCATTTTTATATACAAGATATTAATGAATCGCAAAAGATACGTGAACTTTCGGAAGCCTTCTCCCTACTGTTCCCTAAGAACGTGCCAAAAACAATAAAAGAGGGTAACCTTTATATGGCTTACAATCAGAAGGATAAACAATGGTATCGGGGTATACTTAAGAAAATATTTCCTAACGACATTTACAGATTATTTCTAGTGGATTACGGTATGCATTTAAATGTACCTAAAGAAAGGTACGTAGTAAGGTCGAGTGAAAGAGTTTTAAATTAAATTAACTTTTGATCGACTTTTATTTTACTTAATAATATCTCTGTGCATAGACTTTGCCAAATGAAACCTCATCACATAAACATTCCATTTGCGGCCATACGTTGTGCCATCTATAACATCATGCCAGCAAACAAAAGATGGACGAAAGCAGCGGATCAATTATTAATGGAAATTACAAAAAAGTAAGTTAATCCCCTACGTGGAATAATAGGATAAACAAATGAGAAAATTATGATCGCGTTTAACTAACAAAAAAATACCTTTCACATCTTTCGCGTATCTGTTTATGAAACCTAACCTAGGTTATGTCGTAGGCATATTGCTTTAACTAGTAACGCTTCATCGTCATATCACCTTATAATCCCGAAATCATTCATCATTCTGACCTATTTTACAAGATGTCTCTGTTCTATACAGTCCTATTTTTTTTTAACACGTGGCCAAGTATTCTTATGTTTATAGAGGTCTGGAGACCTTAAAATACAGTTAGTCATGCACTTTAAAAAAAAAAAAGTTGCCTCACGAGTGTTCTTTTTTCGCGACCCTCAAGCAGAGGGGACATACCTACATTGTGTTGACCTATTTCGAGAATCCGAAAAGTACCTATGAAAAATGATCTCGAAAACGGAAATCGAAATTGATGCGTAGTTAAAAAAAAAAAAAAAGCAACTAATTAACATACGATTAACATTGTTGTCATTTGAGAAGGGCACAGTTTTCTTGTACAGTATAAGAAAGCACTTATGGAAATGTTTTTTATACCCCATACCACTTGTGTAATATTCACAAGCATTTCAGATCTGTACAGAAACATTTTACCATACCGATCGATTCCGAAACACTTTCCGAATTGATTTAAGCTTGACTGTCTGTCTGTCTGTCTGTCTGTCTGTCTGTCCATCTAGCTGATCATTTTCCACTTCTTCTTATATTCAATCTACGAATCGCAAATGTTTACCACCTTTGCCCCTATTATTGAAAAAAGTGATAGTGTGAAAAAAGTTTCGACGATTAACGCACACACACTCAACATTCGAAAAATATCATTTGTATTGGGCAATTTTTTTAACTCCTTTGCATGTAATCTTTCAAACCGAAGCAAGACAGTAATAAGTAAGTAATTTGACCAATAGTTGTAGTAGTTTACCATAAAAATTAATTGTACCGAATTTGGACTATAAAGGCCTATATTATAGGTCCCAACCCCATGAAAGTGTCCAAACAAACTTTCATTTCCGACACTTTATTATGATTACATTAGTTGATTGTAGTAATAAGATTTTTCAAAAGAAAATTCATTTTGTTCAATTTGTTCCATGTCCGCTCAAATTTTCGGGCCATGAAAATTTCGACTCATGGAAAGTAGGCGTTTTCGTATGTTTTCACAAAAAAATGAAATGAAAAATTTGATGAAATCATGCGGGATACAATAATTAATAATCTCCCTCGACCACCCTTCCGGGTTAAAATATTTTTATTTATTTGTTTTTTTTTTTTTGTTTTTGTTTTGTATATATATAGGGAATAATCTCATATAAGAGAATTTGAAAAAGTGGACTTTCGTATAATAAACAAGTTATTTTAAGCTAATATTTTACTCTGTATGTAAGATGTATTTAATAAAAATCTTTGCAGTGCACCGGCACGTTTGAGTATAATTGAAAAAATTAGTGATCGCAATTTTTTGATTGATTTACACAACGAGCAAACGAAATCGGTACGCGGGTCATTTTTATACACTGGCCTGGGTAAAGATAGGCCAGGATTTTTGAGTTTTAAAATGCAAATAAAGGTTTGTTGACCAACAAGAAGACTTGTATAACTACCTATAATAACTACCTACCGATACCTAATTTTAATTGTAGACAATAAACCCGGACGTTAAAGAAGAAAATGGATTGGCCGTTACCCATTATTTTCGTGCTGGCGAAATATTCAGGGTAGCAATAACTCATATTGAGGGACCTCAAGAATTTTACGTTATCAAGGTTAGTTTTTTTTTTTTTTTTTTCTTTTCTTTTCTTTTCTTTGGAATAAGAAAATTACAATTTCTGTGATATGCACGTTCGTGGCATTTTCGTAGAGCGACTTAATACACGACCAGCGTCAATTTCAAAATGATTTAAATGAATATTACACATCTCAAACAAACAAACACGAGCAACTATACTTGGGCAGCGTGCAAATGTACTGCGTTGTGTGCTTAGAGGAGTTCTGGCATCGTGCCATTATCGAAGAAATTAAAGAAAATGGTATAATTAACTGATAACTAATTACTCGTACATGTCCACTAACGTATTGTACTGTTTTCCCCAGGTTACGTGATGGTACGTTTGGTAGACAAGGGTACACGGCACCTAATTAATTGGCGTCAGGCCTATGTACTTGAGGAGCGTTTTCGTAAAGTTCAGGAATATTGCCTACGTTGCGCCCTAGCCGACATTGAACCATTACAAGAAAATGACTACACATATACCGCGACAGCCATCAAAGACTTTAAACAAATGGCAAACAATCCTAATTTACGTATTGAAATCTGTTCCGTACGTGACGATGATTACAAAGTCGCCTTGCTTGTGAGTAAAAAAAAAATGGACATAAATGTGGGAGTTTCACTGGTGAAAAATAAATATGGTATTTCAACTGGGGAAACGACCCAAGAAACAGAGATTACGACGAGTGTATTGAAAAATCAAACCGCGCCATTTGAACTAATGAATAACGTAAGATCATCGTCGAATTTATTAAATGCTCCTACGAAAACAAGTAGCAGCGACGGTTCGTCGAAAAAAGTGGTAAAGAAAATCGTTAAACGTACACCGGTTATCATTACCCATATTGTTAATCCGGGGGAATTTTACCTTCAACTTGCTTCTCTATCTGAAGGCACAAAGGCTTTTCACCGGCAAATTCAAGAAACTCAAACTCGCAAATATAAATTATGTACCGAGCCTGAGTTCATAAATAAGTGGACTGTAGGCGATGCCTGTATGGTGTACACAAAATTTCAACGTGCATCCGATGCAAATAATTTGCATGAAAATTTTAATCTCTCTTCAAATTTATCGGATTATAATGAGTGGTATCGTGGAATTGTTACCGATATTGTCAATGACTTAGCATCGAAATCCACTTATACGATCTTCTTACGAGATGTTGGCACCACTATACAATCAATTTCTGCTGATCAGTTGTTTCCCATTGATTCATTATTGAATCGAGTATCAAACGCAGTATATCTCTGTCAGTTAGCATGCGTTGAGCCTACAGGCGATAAAAGCTGGTCGCTAACATCCATAGATTGTTTTAAACATTTTACTAAAAAATTCGAATCTCTAGGGGTTACTCTGCAGAGCAAATGTTCATTAGATAAAAAGTCACTGCCAATTGTTTTATGGGGTGTACTCACTGAAACTAGTGATCCCTTGGCACCTTGCATAACAAAGTATACAAATATTAACTACAGCTTAGTTAAAAGCGGTTTAGCTCATCTGGTAGAACCGTTAGATCAAACTCAAGAATTTAATCAATTAGAAGAAATTGAACTTGCGGGAGACGAAATTACATTAGAGCAGTGGTTAAAATCATTTGCGAATAATGCAATGCTAACAGGTACCTATACACAATCCGTTCAATTTCACTCCGCTAGTCGTCATAAATCAATTTTGATTTTTATATTTGTACAGCTATTGAACGTATTGCAGACAATCCTACGCGTAATAGTTGCGATGGTTTTCTCTGTGATAATGCTTCAGAAAAGTATGCATCATGCAATGAATTTTCTTTCGAATATGATGAATTAAGCGATGTACTGACAACGGGACAAACGGTTCCACCTCAAGCCTGGCTGGAATGCCGAAGAATTGAGAAAACTCTTTTCACAGGCTTCCCAACCTATATTGATTACGATTGCATTGTCTATATACACGACTGCGAAGGACATGGAATTTTGGAAAGAATGTGCTTAAAACTTGGCTCCAAGTATGGTAAGATGCCCCCACCGCCAGCGGACTATAAATATGCTATAGGACAGCCAATTGTTGCTGCTTATACCGAAAATGATTTGCATAAAATGTATCGATGTGTAGTCGAAGCATTACCTAATGATTGCGGTCAATGGAGTGTGCGTTATATCGATTACGGCAATGTTGAAACTGTCGCATTTGAATCGATGCGACCGTACGCTCCATATCCCAATCTAAATGCAATAGCCAATCAATTTCGCATTGAGGGTATAAAACCGAAATTCGGTGCGGAGAGATTCCCAACGCTTGCTTTAGATTTTATACATCTTAATACCGTGGCACGTTGGGTTACGGTACGAGTATCGGAAGATGAACTGCATAAGCCAATTCGAATATGTAAAATACGTCATGGTGCTATCGATATAGCACACTATTCCATAGAAGAAGGTCATGCCGATTCCGATCATTCTAGGTCACGCGTCGAATTAAATATAATGAAATCCACTAGACAACGTAATCCCATTCTTTTCGAGCAAAATGTGAACAACGAGTTTGTGGTAAATACGAAATGCACTAAACGAACAAAATTTACTATTTACAATTATTTACAGCGCGGTAGCATGGACAATCGTATGGATGTTACGGGCAAAGATGATAGATCTAGTGAGGATGACGATATGCACGATGATAATACCGAAGACGAATATGAGGGATTAGACGAACTAATTGAACGTTTAGACAATAAAAGAAAGCCAGCATTTGATCAATTTTCGGCTATGACATCATCTCACGCAATAAATCAACAAGATAGCCTTGTAACACTTCAATTACCAAAAAGACGCATGTTTGATGAAAATGGTTATGCGGAACTGTTAAATGAAATGAAAGATTCCGAATTGAATGTTGACTTGGTTGACGATGCATTCTGCGAAGACGGCGATAAAGAAAATAAAATTGATTTGGAAAATGAATTTGATGATGATAGCGACGAAGATGTCGTCTTTTTAGATCACGGTTCCGAAAATGATTATTATTATTGGCAGTCCGCAAAACATGAGGATTTATGTGAACAAGGGCAAGAATATGTAGATGAGCAAGCTTCTTTTTCACATATAGAAAGGGTGAATATATATTTGAAATTCTTTTATCTTTTTTTTTTTTTTTTTTTTTTATATATATATATACATATAAATAACTAATAAAAATTCTAAGGATGCTGGCTCTGAGTTTGAACAATTCAATCCGAATGCTACATCAACGGCTATATCCCATTTTAGCGGTAGCAAATTTTTCAAACAACCGCAATTGCCACAAAGCATGAACAATTTCAATTGCTGTGTTGTATCAATTTTGAAGCCGGCCTTATTCCAAGTTTTTCCTCTTCATCTGGAATATGAATACCGCGAAATGGATATGCAGCGTACGATTAAACGAATGGCCAGGGTCGCACCACCCTTAACAAAATTTAAGCCAAGCACTGTTTGTTTGGCGCGTTACACTAAAGATAAAAGATGGTATCGAGCTGTAATATGCAGATATTCTGCAGATAGTAAATTGGTGGAAGTGCTGTATGTTGATTATCTTAATAGCGAAACGCTCCCAGTGACAGACGTGCGGGAATGCCCTAAGGAATTGTTAATTTTGCCATTGCGTACGTTTCGAGTTCGTTTGCATGATGTTAAACCCAATCCCATGAAGCCGGAAAGCGCAATACGTAGCGCTCTTCACAAATTGTTAAGCAGACGTAAATTATATGCAGTCATTAAAAAGCGGTCTACCCCAGCTCCTCCAAAGTGCAAAGCCCATGTATTTGGCACAACACAAGAAGAAGATTCGGTTGCAATAGATTCTTTACTTCCGCCAAAGAGCGACGTCATGGAAGTTATTTTATATGATTCGGCCGAGTTTGCTTTAAAAGGCGTTACCATCTATGAATCGTTAATACAAGATGATCTCTTTATTCGCATTTAATTACTCAACATTCTCACATGTTATTTCTCATTTCATTTTTCATTTCATTTCGTAATCAGTATATTATTTTAAAAGTAAATGAAAATGAATTAATGGTCTTTTTATTTCGTTCTCTTTCTTAATATATCTTATCTTATCTCTTGGAGAAATTTTGAGTTATTCGTTATAGTATTTCATTGCCACTGAGTTTTTTATTTATAACTGATTCATTATATTTTTATTCACATTTGACTTTTCCCATTTCTTATTTATTAGTTTAATTAATTTTCTTATTCGGACTTAATTTTTTTTTTCTTTTTTTTTTTTTCTCTTTCATTTTTTTTTTTTTTTCTTTTTTTTTCTTTATACACATTCTTATGCACAAGTTTCGTTTAAATAAAAAAAATGGATATTACTAAATAAGTTTTTTGCTTTAAATTCTTGCATTGTAGATATCGCATACATTTGTTTTTTCTAATAATTAAAAAACAAACTTCAAACACCCTATAGATTGTTGGCCGACAAACGTTAAAATTGATAAAAAGTTAAAAAAACAAAACACTAATATATTTTTCGGCATAGGCTCCACCTAAAAAAATATTTTGAAATTTAGTCAGGACCCTTCTCGATTCTAGCAAAAGAAATAGACAGAATGATATTTAATAGAAATTTTTCTAATATCAAAATATTTAAAAATACGATTTTTCCCTTCACCCATGCTTTCGATGCATATATTTCATCTATTCAAACTAAGAATTGGAACAATTGCTTGCAAGTGGTTGCGCAATTTCTATCAAAACTATGTTAATAGGTCAAAATATACGCGACTGAAAATAAGAAACTAGCAAAATACTAGTCTGAAAGCCGAGACTCGAAAATCAATACAAAATGGGCATTAACGCCCATCCAACACCTGTAGCCGCCAATAAGCATATAGAAATTTATGGCAGTTTTCTGCAAGACCTTGGAAAAGTTACTAGCAATATTAGCCTCAATCGGCCAATACTAAGAGGATAGCAGCATACAGTATACATTTTTATGCCCATCACTATAACTTTGTAAGTTTGTTTTTTTCCAACATATATGTAAAATCAAAAAGAAAGCTTCAGGCACCCTATAAAGTATGCATACTCTTGATTAGCATGAAATTCTGAGTTGAAATAGCCATATCTGTCTGTCTGTGTCTGTGTGGTGTGCGTTGTTGGCTCGCTCCTGGTCGCAAAAATGAAGATATCCACTTCAAAATTGATAGAAATATTGAAAGTTTCTGCACCCAGGTTGTTATTGAAAATGGGCTAAATGGAACTCAGTTTTTTTTAACAAATATTTTTCGAATTTTTGCTTATTACTAGGAAATTATTAAAATTGTAAAAGGATGAAATTTTCCACATATACTTTATGAAACATTCTACTCTTTCGGTTCAAAAAGTGAAACCAATCGTCCATGCCCACACAAGGCTACGAGCGTTTGTTTTATTAACGACAGTCACCTTAAATTTTTGCGAAAATATCGACAAAACAAGAACAAGCGGAATCTAATCTTACACTTAAATGGGAATCATACAACTCGAAAGAATTCGAGCGAGGAGTAATCTTTTCAAAATACTTCCGACAAAAGAGAGATAGACGAAAATTACTGAAAGTAGGGGTACAAGCTGGAGCAATCAATAATGGGTAAAAAGCAGTGTACAACATGGATATAATTTCAGGAAATATGATTAGAGCGATAATTGCAGGCGATTAATACTGGTGATCAACGAAATAGTCAAGAAAATAATTTTTTTCCTTAGGGTACATGAAATGGAAAAATATTCGCATTCCTAATCTTCTCTCAGCATATAAGTTGTCCATTATGATTTTTATGAATCTAAAAAGACAAATACAAAGTAAGTATAAACCGATTTGGAGATTTGTAAAGAACATATGCTCACTTATGTCATTTCATTGTTAAAGATTATCACAAGCCAGCCTGACCACGCATATCAGCACAAATTAAGTCTTTTTTTAAAAAAAAAAAAAATTGATATTAAAAGTTAAAATAGAAAATAAAAACAAGTAAGAAAATTTTATTCGGCGGAGGTCGAATCTCGCATACCCACCATTATGTTTTTTGCATTCCACTCTCCAAGTTCTTTAATTTGATAACCATATCGCTGGTATTATTATGAAGAAATTAATCGCGGTGTCCACCATATTCAATTTAGATTTAATCCATTCTTAGGCAGACAATATATCTTCATTTAAAAACATAGTTTTAGATATTTTGTCTTGTTTGCCTTAGGATAAATAAGCATAAAATTTCAAAAAAGTAAAAAACAATAAGATTTAATTATTCGTATCTTTGTGCGCGCATGTCCGATTGGTTCCATGTTTGCATCTCGAGTGTGTTAAGTGTCTTGGTAAAGCAAATGTGGAAATTATCAACCTTCTAGCTTTTATAATTTCAGAATAACGAGCAAAATTGCAAAAAATTTTCTGAAAAAAAAAAACCGAGTTGTGTTCCGTTTACGATCCACCGTGCGCTTCTGCTCTAAACAGTTTGGCCCATATTCAATACTAACCTGCGTGCAGTAACTTCCAATGTATCTATCAAATTTGAGGTGGATATCTTCAGGAGGGTGCCAACAACACACACCGCACATACAAACAGACGGAAGGAAACGCCTCAATCGACTTAGAATTTCCCACCGATCAAGAAAATATATGCTTTATAGGGTTACGTTATCTTCTTTTTGGATGTTACATACATTATGGAGAAAAACACGAAATGAGTATACATCCATATTACAGTGGTGGGTATAAAAAATAAATAAATTGTTAGGGCAAAAATTAAGGCGAAATTTATACCATGCCATACCAATCGCGATTTATATTAAACGATATCGAAGATCAAAACAATCTTCGGTTGTTGATGACCTTTGAAAACCAATATGCAATTTCAATCAATAATAATTCGCTAAAGGCCATAAAGACCACATTCTAAGAGAACTCCTTGACCGTAAATTTCATGTTATTTCTCTCTTCGTGCCAAGATCATAAATTTGTAATGAAATGAATTTTGCCGTCCAGTTATTCTAGATATGTGTCTGAATGGGTTTGAATTGATCGAAAATCCCAATAATGAAAATATTGACATTCATCGTTTACAAATGAGCGAAATTAAGAAGAACACGATGTTAATTTTCTATGACCATAAGAAATGAAATTACTATATATGGCTGTATATGTATTTTCAAATAATGAATTGATTGTAATTTTATTTAAATTTGTATAATTTCTTGGAAATGTTTTTTTTTTTTTTGTTTTTTTTTTTTTTTTTTTTTTTGCAATTTTTCTTTTTATTTTGTTTAATTTACCGTATAGTTTATAGGTGTATTGAAATCATTTACTCTGCGTTATTGGTAATTTTCTTCTCTTTTTACCATGCACACAATAATTTTAGTTTACATTATCGTATATTTAAGTAATATCGTTTACATTTATAGCTTATACTTAGTTAATTTAAACTATAATTTATTTAGTTATAATTAAATGTTTATATATTAAACATTAAAACAGAGAGAATATAATGAAATCTAATAAAAATGAAATTTGAACTTAACCCAAAGAGAAACAGAGTGGCGGAGGAGAAGGAGGAGGAGGAGGAGGAGGAGGAGGAGGAGGAGATGGAGTTATATTCGTCGTGAAAACAACATTCGACATTATCCTATCCACCACCTAATGACCTTTTTATTTAATCTTAACATTTTTATTCATTTAAAGATTTTTTTTTTTGCAAGTTTTTCGTTTGGCTATTGCTTACATTATTACTTCAAAGAAAAAAAAAAAAAAAAGAAAAGAATAGGGAAAGATTGGAATAATATTTTGTTAAGCCATTTAAGAAACTTGTGGTATTCCTCTATAGTTTTAGTCAAGTCTTTAGCTACCAATAGTCCCACGCAGTTACTTCACTATTTGAAAAAGCAGGTATAGACAGACATATGGACAAAATTGCAAAACCTTGTTAGAGATGAAGTCTATTGATTGTCTATTGAGGTCTATTGTCTTTTTTAGAGAAATTTCCAGATACCATCAAATCTTATGTCTGCCATGGGAAAATGTGTTTTTACTCTCTGCTTAATTGCAAGTCTCTGAGAAGGGAAAACATTATACTCTAACTCACTTTTTCTTACTAACCAGAGAACATATGATATATGTGGCTCGGGCCTCTGACTCCAATTCTACCAATCCCTGCTTTATTCTATATTAAAGAAGTAATGAAATCTTTATGTATTTTTTAAAATTAAAATATGCATTGCGACCGCAGTACGCGTTAATCTTTGAACGTCCATCATATGTTCGGCTTTCTATTCCACTTTTTGGAAATAATAATGTAAGATTTGCTGGTTTTTCTAATTTCACTAATGATATTATTATTAGAATGAATTTAGTCAATCTTAAACTGCTAGCATCTAAGGCTGAAAAATCTACTCTTTTAAGAGTAATAATTATTACAATCCTACACTGAGCATATTATATCTGGAGAAAAAATGACAAAATTAAAAAAAATGTATACATGCTTTTTGTACAGGGACTGCAAAACTTATATAAAAAAAGATTAAAAAAAAAAAAAACACCTTACTATGACTCCTGCATCATGTACTAAGAAAATAAAACAGAAACCCCTGAAACTCTGAACTCTGAACAATCTTCGTAACTAAACTAATCTTTGCTTAAGAATTGAGTAAAAAGTTTTACATAAATATAGTCGCAGACAGCCTCCTTTTTTTTATATTGACAATATAGGGGATATTATTATGGTATTTCAATGCCAATATTATGAATGTGTGTATACATTGTGCGAGGTCTCTAATCAATGCTTTTTTTGCAAATGAAATAAAATTCGCAAGTGGTGGATATGATTGATGTTTATATGTACAAAATTGAATAAAAAATCATAATTCGTTTTTCATAAGATATACCGAAGAGGAAGTTGACTGAAATTTTAATGAATAAACAAAGAAAATAGAAAATAAAAAAAATAAAAAAACATTAAATTTACACAATTTAACTAAATTAAATTTTCTAAGGTCCGATCTTAATAAGCCATTTTTTTTTTTTTTTTTTTTTTAAAGCAATTCTCTCTCTCTCTCTCTCTTGTCATACTGTTAAGATCATTAAAAACATTTGCCAATTAATTTTAGCAAATTTTTTTTTTAATATGTATTGCACTAATTATCATCGGAATCTTAACGGTTTAATGTAGAAAAGATTCCTTCAAAGAAAGAACGAAACAAAAAAAAAAAAACAAAAACAAATAATAAGGAGATATTTATATCGCTATCGAAGTAAACATTTACATACGCACGCGTATATTTCTTACGTATAATTTTATATTTAGTTCCGTATGTATGCCTGCAAACAAAACTTATCGTCTATTAAACTTGTATAAGTATTTTCATTATATTTATAATTTATTATTATTATTATTATTATTATTATTATATATAATAACCATTAAAATTTTACAATAAAAATAGTGATGAAATTTAAATTAAAATTAATTAAACGTTAAACTTAAAATGAATAAAGCACACCTTTCAAAAAAGTCCAATCATATATATACATATATATATATATATATATATACTCTAGTATACATTTACATACTATAAGTATACATTTATATTTTAGATTTTATATATATATTTATACATATATATATATATATAAATCGGAATCAGAAAAACTAAAATTAAAAAAGGGAAAATAATAAAATAAAAATAAAACTTTACATATTTACGCAATAAACATTGAACATAACTACAAAGAAAAGGAAAAACAAAAAAAAAATAAATTCTTTAATGCATAAAAACGGATACAATTACATATTACATTATTCACTTCTTATGACAAAAAATATATAAATACATCATAAATATTTTGATTATAATCATTTAAATGATAATCGATAGAAACCGAATTCAGAATTTTCGGTGAGAATTTGAAGTTTGTTACAAAAGCTATAACGGTACGTTTTTTTTTTTTCTTTTTTTGCAGCTTAATGCAATAAAAAAAATTCAGATGAATCTTCGATACTATGTGATTAAAAGTCTGTGGTTTTTATGTTTAAATTCAATACAACTCAAGCCAATGAGGTTTTCTTGTAGGCGGAATTTTTTTAAATAAAATCCAAATTATAGTAGAAACGAAAACAAGTTATACATGATTGCTTTAGAATAATGTATATTTATCCATCAGGTTAATCTAAGTTTTCTTTTTTTTTATTAATCGTAGAATCGTCTCTTACTTAGCTGATGATTATTCAGTTATTCTCTTATCTCAATCTTTCGATGACTCGTTTTCTCATTTAGCATAAGAATTTTGATCGACACTTGCTAACGCTTTTTTTAAATCATTGACAATAAAAGTTGAGATTTTTTTTTTTCCATACCCACCATAGGGGATATAGCATATAGGGGGTTGACAAACGCATTGAAGTCTACTTAAGACTTAACATCGAAATTGCGAGTACAAATTGGTCTTGAAAAATGAAAGTGATGTTAAATTTTTTCTTAACACTATCGTCAGACTAAGTTCGAACAAAAGTAAAATCAAATTCATTATTTTCAAAAAAAATCAAAGATTTATTGAATATTACCAAAAAGCTTTAAAAGGGAGATTATCATCCGAAACTGATTCAATTTTATATACTTATCTAGAATCTATATACTTTGAAAATATCCACTTATGGTATAGATAACAGAATATTCTGCAATAGTGTTATAGTTGAACAACGGACGGACAAACAAGTGGATATGATTAAATCGATTTGGAAACAGATCATAACTAAAAGAACTGAAATGAAAGTGTACTTTAAAGCGAGCAATATTAAAATATATGGGATCTGTCGAAAACATGTTATGCAATGCGTACAAAGAGAAAATATAATAAAAAAAAGAGGGTAAAAAATATCTTAAGAGCGGACAATGGGGAGAAGAAAAACAAGTGTTCTAATAATTTTGTATGTGAACTTGATAGTTTTGAAATTTAATTCATTTTTAAATGTTATAAAAGAAATATATATATAAAAATTCTGCATAATGTATTTTAACTGATTTTCACATCGCACATCTATTTTCGGAGAAATATGAATTTGTAAATTCAAACTCTTTGCTATTTCTTCGTAATGAATAAAATTTCTTTGAAACCCTATTCTAAAAAATGTTTCTAAGTTTTAAGAATTTTTTTATTTTTTATCTTTTTTTTTTTTTTTTTGAATCAATTGTTTGCAGCAAAGACGGAAAGACTCTTTGCTTTTTCCTTACATATATGTGTGATCAATGCATATTGAATTCAATTAATGATTGCTTTTACGATGTTTTAGATAATACTCATAAGATGTATTAACTTTACGTAGTCCTATAATTTATTAGTAGTCAAAAAAAAAAAAAAAACAATAAATATTATATACACATGGACAGACACACGCATACACATATATATACTTATAAACAAACATACATACATACATACATACATACATACATACATACACGCAACAAACATACATATATAATCATGATACATCGACAAAGTAAAGAGAAAAATTATTTCGTATTTTCTTTTTTTTTTTTTTTTTTTTTTTTTTTTAATTTCATACTTCTAATTAATATCTATTATAAAAAAAAGCTCACTACATTTGAAAAAAAAAAAAAAAACATTTGTTATGAAACAAAAAAAGTCTCGTTGAAGTTGTGAAAATTTTTCCTTTTCCTTACTTTTGTTCAATTTATACTTCCACTGTAAATGGATCGCGAGAATGATGAATTTTCATATGTTTATTATGATTCGTTTTTGTAGTCGAACTTTTACCACAAATGGTGCATTGGAAGGGTCTTTCGCCGGTATGTATGCGCATGTGCTCAATAAGATAATAATGGCGATGAAATGATTTTTTACATATTTGACATGTAAACTTTTTATCTCCATGATGTTCCCTACGATGGCGCATATAATTATATTTTCTTATAAATTTGCATCCACAAACTTCGCATGTATATGGTCGGATTTGTTTATGCGAATTGATGTGATTCTTAAAATCAAGCTCGCGCACAAATGCCTTAGGGCAGTGCTCGCATTTAAACGGTTTTGCTGTACGATTCGCATGCACCCATGAATGAATTTTCAAATTCCATTTAGTTGAGAATGATTTACTGCATATGGTGCAATCATATTGACTTTCGGTCGAATGTGTCGCCATATGCGATTTCATTGATGCCTTCGAAAATACTTGCTTGCATATCGGACACTCCATTGGTTCAACGTAATCGAATTTATCCGAATGTGCCAGACGTATATGTCGTTTAAGCGAATTAACATGAACGAAACGATCACAGCAATGTGGGCAGCATTTAGGCTTTGAATCGTGAGTCTCTTTGTGCCATAAAAATCTCGCCTTCGATGGTAACACTTCACCGCAATAACATACATATTCTTTTTTTCTCACTAACTGTTGTTTAGTATGACGTTTACGATGTTGTGTTAAATTCGAATATCGCTTAAAGTGTTTACCTAAAATATAAACAATAAATATCATCTAATAACTTATATAAAAATGAGACAAAAAAAAAAAACAAATTAAAATTCATATTATGATGAATTTTAAATATATCCATGATTTAAAAAATATTACATTAAATGCTAGAATGTAAATGAAATCTTTTGATCAAGATATTCGCAAACGTTTGTCTAATAATGTTGTGAGGAAAATGTTTTACTTTTCTTAATTATTTTTCAAATTTTTATAAAATTTGTTCATATTCCGACTTTACTTTTTTCGACCCATTGCATTTATTTCAAACCACTCCCCAAATTTTTTTTTTAACTAAGGATATGCCGGATAACCGTGATAGTTGCAATTTATGTACAGACCAAGTGAACAAACTCAGGGACATGACTAATTTGAGTTAAGTGTTGATCAAAAATTCATTTTATTTATTGGAAATAAAATTATGAAATTATTATATATATATATATATGTGAATAGCAAATGTAATAGCAAAGGCATTATTTCTCTTACCACATATTTTACATTTCAGTGGCGACTGACCAGAATGCATTCGCATATGCTCCACTAACGCGCTACGTACAACGAATTTTTTTTCGCAAACATTGCAACCAAACTCTTTCCAACCCATATGACGTTTTAAATGTAATGATAGATTTTTCCATCTTTGAAATTTCTTTCCACATGAGAAGCATTCAGCCGGATGCTCAGTTAAATGAATGTCATAAAATTTCACTGACGTGAAACTTTGCCGACAAACATGACAAAAGAATATTAATGATTCCATTAGCTTCTCATCCAATTCCGTTAGATCTTGTTTTATTTTTAAATTGCTCATATTATACGTGACCAGCATTCGATAGAGCGTGGTCAGCTTAGTGGTGGGCGCATTAAGTGATAAACGTTGCAAGCCAGGATATTTAATATCTAGCGTCGATGTTTGTTCCTCTTTCTCAATTGACGTTGTAACATTAGATTCCGTAGCAGTGTAGGATGACTCAACCGGTACTATGGACACATTTTGTTTATTATCATCGAGTTCCTTTGGCGTTTCTGTCACCATATCGTTATTTACAGGATCTACATCGGCGGCGTGCGGTTCCGTTTCGATTTTGACAATGCCATGCTTTGAATCTTCAGGTAGATCTTCTATTTGAAGAGATTTTGATAGTATGACACCCTCACTGGTACTTGGCGTTAAATCGGTGACGTCCGCTTCGTTGCTTGTTACAGTTGATGTGATAATCGTTTGGGGACAAACAAGTTTGCGATTTTGACGTACATAATTGTGAGCAGCAATCATATGAGCATTCCGATCTTTTAATTTGGAATATTTGGCAAAGCAGCGTGCGCATTCGTATGTCTTTTCGCGTGGCTTTTGTTGACCTAAATTTTGTACAAGCGAGGCATCCCCAAGGACAACAGGTCCAGCTAAAAATTCGGATGACGATGGTGCCACTGACGCTTGCGGTAACTCAAAATCAGTTGATTCCGGTTCCCTCGTTTCTTGAATATGTTGTTGTTGAACTTGCGTCAATGAAGCGGTCACATTTAATTTATCGTCTTGCGAAATTCGCTTACGTTTCTTTTTGCCCCTGCCTGATGTAGAAGGTAATACGTCGGCGTTACCTCTAGTGTTATCCTGGCTATTCTGCGAAAAGATTTGCAAACCGCTGGATATGAAATTATCTGCTACTGCACTAGTCGTTTCCGACGGCAGGCGAAGATCAAAACTGTTACATGGAAAAGAAAAATAATTATTTCCATATATTTCGAGACAGGGTTATTTATGTGGGCAACCTTCTAGTCCGACTGCTACCATTTGTCGCAGGTGCCGTGGTCGATGCACTTAAGTCTTGAACTGTAAAATAGTCATCGTGATGCCAATCACTGTCGTGGGTGAACATGCCCGGAAAGGATGTTCTGAAAAATCGCGCCGATATGTCGCCATACATCTAAATAAGAAAAAGAAAAAAAAAACGTAACTCATTAAAGTTGTGAATGAATAAATATTTTCGACTGAGATTACGATAAGTTAATTGCAAATCTTTTAATATGCAAAAAATTTGTAATTACCGGTTGACTCCATGAATTTTCTATATCACAATTGCTTTCCTGTTCAGAGATTTCCCCCTTTGCAGGCATTTTCTCATCAGTTCGTATATTAAGAGCAGCAGATACCGGGCAAACACCACTCAAACTATTATCAGTAGCTCCGGCAAATGAACAGGAATTTGGCGAGGAAGGAGGTGGCTGAGGCGGATTTTGGCTTCTACTGCTATCTATTATATCGAAGTTCTGTTCTCGTTTGCAAGCATCCAAATCTAAATATTTACTCACATCGCCGCCATCCAGGGATGCATTGCAATCAACCGATAAAGGTGAATTAAAGCTAACTTCAATATTGCTGGTGACTGCCGTCGAGACTGATGAAGTATTATTCGCATCGGTGCTATTAAACCATTCCGTCACATTTCGATTTTGATTATGCTGCTGATTGGATATAAGATTCTGATCCTGTTTCGTAGCGGAACTATCTTCGAGCAAATTCGAGTTACTACTGTTTGAGACTGAAACGCTGTGTGTCATATTTGAATAGAAGGTTTGAGAACGTTTAATATCCTCTTGTTGTGACACATGATTATTATTATTATTATTATTATTATTATTGCTGTTGTTGTTGCTATTGTATAGAAATCCGAACGGATAGTCGATATAATTTTGCGCTTGATTTGATTGAGCGTTATTGAACGGAAGCACAGAAGAATTTTGCGGAAATGACGAGCTCTGTAAGTTAACATCGACGGCAGATTCTGAAGAATAGGAAGAGTTTATAATAACCATTTCGGATTTATTCTCCTTTTCGGTCTGAGCGGAGCTAAAATCAATATTTGAACTGTTTGGGAATTCCTGCATTTTTTGTTTTGAAAAAGTCGCGGACGAGGATGATAAAAATTCTTTTCTTGAAGTTTCAGTCGCGGTGACTTTCTTTGAATTGGCAAAATCATATAAGACTCGAGCGTCGTCGGCAATGTTACTTTCGGTTTTTAAGTGCGGAGTGCTTGACGGTAGGCAAGTTTCCGTAAGACATGGTTTCTCCTCTTTGCACTCCATGACGGTGTGTGCGGTAGGGCACACGAGCTGCTGTTCCACGATATTCATATCAGTTTCTGGCAATTGATTTTCATAATTTCCACCGCTTAAAGGTTCACTTTTCACTTTAACTATATCCTCAATAATCGTTCGTTGTTTCGGTTTAAGACCATCTCCATGCTCTCTAAATGATATTAATTCCAAATTTTTCTTCACTTGTTTCTCACGATCTTGCTGCGTTGGTGTCAAATTTGATGAATGATGATTTGTTGTAGCTAAAGTTGGCCGCTCATTCGATCTCTTATCCATTATAACGTGTTGATGCAATTCCTCGAGCCTTTTGCATTTTTTCTGCTGAGGCATAAGATTTATTGATTTCTTTCTCAACTATTGTCGTAGTTTTACTTAAGTTCGGTAACTTCTCTGCAACAGTTAACTGCTCATGTTCGCTATCTTCAATGTAATCAAATTCACGCGAAGTTTTCAACTGTAGTTTATCACAATCTGCCGTTTTATTAGAACGATTTCTTTCTTTATAATTTTCATCTAACTGTCCAAACAACATATCTTTTTGTTGCGCTAAAGGCGTGGTTTCATTAGAATTGTCAGTTGATATTCGTTGTTTAAGTTTAGCATATTCTTCTTGAGCTTTGGCTGAAGTTGAGGGTTTTTGATCGTCACCCGTTGGTGAGGATGCACAAGCATTTGTTGCCGTTGTTGTTTCAGTCTTTGAGGATTTGGGCTTGATAACTAACTTTTTAGGAACCTTACGTCCTATGGCAGTAGCAAAAGGTTTCCTTAAATAGTCTGAAGTGAAACCCGTCAGATTATGTTGAATTTTGGTCTGCGGTTTTGAGAGATCCTCAGCTCTGTCTGAGTCTCTTCGTATCGTAATACTTTTTGGTTCTTTATCTGCATAAACGATTTCCTTTTCTTTCTGCTTCACTAGTAGCCCCTCCTCCAACAGACCTTCGTTTACATGGCTTGTTTGTTGCATCTGCTGACTAGTAGAAGTTGTTGCCATGCGTATTACGCTAGTTGCATGGCCAGAACAATTACTGGAATATGATGTGCCGCACTTGCTATTGTCACTTTCAATATTGCATTCGAAAATGTCGGGTTTCTTCTCATCTTCCTCAGTGGGTTGAATTGAGGTGTCAGTTGGTTTTTCAGTCTCATGTTTGTCGGCTTTCAGTGGTGGTTTAGTTAATGTACCTTCATCCATCGGATGTTCTTGTATTTGGTCCTCATCGTCGTCTAATGGTTCCTCCTTTTCAATTTTTACTAAAGGTACCGGTGCTATGGCCGAAAGTGTTTTTCGTTGAGGAGATATCTTGCTAGAAGCTATAATGTTGCCTACTAAATCCAAGTATTCGTTTAAATTTAGCTGAACATCACTTAACACTGTTATCGTATTTTTGGGTGATTTTTTACGCATTGAATCCTGACTGAGAGAACTGCTTGCATTCGTCGATGGAGTTATTTTTGAATTCGACAGTGTTTCGGTTTCATTAGTCAAACTCATATCTGATTGCTTGGACATGGAATCAATGTCGGGTTTCTTACTTTTTGGATGATTACTCGCCACAAACTCTTCCTGGTCACTTTCCCCCGAAATACTCATGAAATCTTCTTCGTTATCGGAATTATCAATTTTCTCAGATTTTTGTTCATTATCAAAAGATTTGGATTTCTTTCCACTAACTTTAGGAGATAGTACTTCTTTGCTACTGACATCTCCATCAACGTCATCTTCGTCATGAATATGAAGAACACTAGGAGGTGATTGATAAATACGTTCAATGACAGAGAATTCGCCGTCTTCTTCTTCAACATATTCCATTACGTGCTTCGGCGTTTCTTGAACAATAAAGTCACCATTTTCACGTTCAAGGTAATGAGCAACTGGTGATTCAGCATATCGTAACACCGAGGTCGCCGACGAGGCAAGTGTCGAAGTAGCAGATGATAACAAAATAGGATAGGGTACAAGTGGGCTTCGACCGAATATAGAATTTCCAACATTGCTTGTAGAAGTAGTAGTCGATAGCGATGGTTGAGCGCTTGTCGACGAATTCGATGTAGTGTATAATCCATTGCCAGGTTTTGCATTGCTTCCATTCGAATCTTGAGTATGTACGTTTGTTTGTTGATCGGTCAAATGTTTATCTTGCGGTAACGAATGCTGCGATCGTATCACTGGAGATGGAGTTGGTGTTCCGCTTTTTGTTTCCGTTTTTAAGGAAAGTATTTGCCTCTTGGACGGTGTTGCTAGATGCTGAGCAATGGAATTTAGACTTTGCTGCTGAATGTGAGAGAAATTGAAGAGCTGACGTTGAACATTTTGATTTTGACTTGGACTTTCAAGTGACAAATGCTGTGATGACTGTTGCAAACTATGTGAAGCTGGTACCGGTGAACTTTGTTGCTGCAACTGCAATTGCTGCTGCTGTTGTTGTTGTTGTTGATGATGCAGCTGTGATACAGTTGAGTTCTGTTGATATTTATTTTGTTTACTTTGAGATCGAATTTGACTAATTGCTGTGCCATAGGCCGGTGGGGGTTTCTGATATTGTGGTGGAACAGTCGATTGATAAGCAAACAGCTGAAATACAATATTATGATTACAAGTTTATCAGGAATAACTTTTATATGAAAATACCTGTAAAGGCGGTGGGGGAGGTAATTCCGCTGGGAAAATATGAGGCTGTTGCCTTTGATGGTGGTGCTGAGCAAGCGTTTGTTGCTGGTGCTGCGGCTGTTGTTGCTGTTGTTGTTGTTGTTGTTGTGGTTGTTGCTGCTGTTGTCGTTGTTGCTGCTGCTGTTGCTGATGATGCTGTTGTTCTTGCTGTTGTTGTTGTTGTTGTGGTTGTTGTTGTTGCGGTTGTGGTTGGTGCTGCTGTTCTTGCTGATGATGATGGCTAGGATACATCTGCGGCTGACGTTGACTGTTTGAAACAGTGTTTAATTGCATTGGCATCGGCAATTCACTGGGTGATTGTTGTTTTTGTTGGCTATGATATGGAACAGTCCCTGAGGATATTGATTCTGCACGTAAGATAGGTAGTTGCGTTGGGCTGTTTTGCGGTAAGCTGCCACGTGTATATTCCTGATATTGAACATGATGCTGAGAAGATACTAGCTGAGTGGGTGCATGTAAGTGACCCGTGGTATTACTTTGCCCGCTATTCTGTTGACTTGGCAATGGTGCATGTTGATACCGTTGGCTACCAAATATTGAAAAATCAGTCGGCACATTAGACAACACAGTTGTCGTTTGGGATTGATACACTTGATTTATATTCGTATTTGAAGATTGATTAAAAGTTTGCTTTATAAATTCGCCGCTTGCCTCACCAGGAGGCTCGGCTAATGGATTTTTAAGATCACTGCCAGAATCCGAGTTAAATTTTATCGCCGTTTTGGAAGAAGTCAATGAGAAAGTAGAACATCCATCTGTCGCATTACTTTCGCCAAAATTGATAGCGTTAGATAAAGTGGTGTGTGTGTGATTTGAACTTTGATTTGATAACGAACTAATACTGGCAGAGATACTGCAATTACTGCTCACGTCATGATCTTTAATCGGTGGAGAATGGTTGTTCGCAATTTCGGCAGAGTTTCTCTCTTTCTCTCGTATATTCTTAGTTTCTTCAATTAACTGAGTAGTTAGCAAACGATTTTCATTTCCAGATATTGTCATATCAACCAGAGCCTTAATTACTTGCTCTTTGGGATGTGTTTCCAAATGATCACATAGATTCATACCTGCGTGCAGGTAAAGCGTGCAAACGGGGCACTGTATATTCTTCACCATTATGATGCCGTCTTTTTAAGCCTTATTCGTAGTAGAAGTATTGACGGGTTTTATTACTACACAAATATGTTGAATTATTTCTTTCCTTTCTTTAAATTCTTGCTTATTTCATATCCAATATGAGTTTTTATCATAAAGTCATGTTATTGTTATATATAGAAGCCATTGTAACCGCAAAGTGTAACCAATCTAAAATAAAACGAAAAATGTATGAGATTCATGTGCAATTTCCTCCTCCCTCTTTTAGATACATTTCAATTAAATAATTATAAACACTTTGAAAAGCTTTATTTACAAAAAATTGCAAAAAAAAAAAAGCAATTATTTCACATCATTTCCTAATATCTATAAAAGATTTATTTTATTTATTTTTGTGAATAAAAGAAATGCTATCTAAGAGACTCGTTCTACATTCGCTTGCTGCGCACTGAATCACTGAAATATACCGATTAATAATAACCAAAGGAAGGAAAACAACTTTGAGAAAAACACTAGAGATTATTAAAGCAGCAAGTATCTAAACATTTGCCAATTTTTCAATAATCTATGGCTATTTTCCCACCCGTGGTAGGTATGAGACCTTCTTCTCCGCACAAGACGCACTGTCCATCTACAAGGACAAGCAGTGATATGAAAGCACGATGTCTAGGATATCCATTAATATTTGGAATGCTAGAACGCTTATTGGCCGCTGCCTTTTGCATTGTAACGGAATTAAAGAAAATTGCCTTGACGAGCCTTTTGCGTCCACTTGACACAGTCCTTGCGATCAGGAGAGATATCTTCACTTAAACGTGGTACTTTTCGAATCCATTAAAATCAACTCATTGGTGATACACTAAAGGTGATTTCCATCAGCGATCTTCTTAACTATTAATATAGATGACAACTTCCAAAATGGATTGAATTTGCGAAATAATTATTATGAAATTTCCAGCAGAACTTCATTGAAATAACACAAACAAACGTTCTGGAAATGATCTTTTCTGAAATGAATACCATAAGTCGTAAGTGCAGACAACAATAATCTCTTTGTTGATCAATCAAAATCACTTTTTTCATTTTTGTGCCAAGTTTTCAAAACAATGCTAATCTACTCTTTAAACTCTTTTTCTACCTTCCTATTCTAATGTGTTCGAAAAAAAAAAGGGATCAAGAGCTAGTATGCTGCTAGCTGGTATACTCCTATAATGCCAAATCATAATATTTCTAAGTATATACACAACTGCAGAAAACTTGATAAAAGGAATATCTAAATTCCAGTCGAATACTAAAAACTATATCAAGCAGCACACACATCAGCATATGCATAAGATTATTTATTGAAAGTATGCCAATTATTAGCGAGCTCACCTGATGATATGAAAATTTTCAATACATGAGAATAGAAATGCGTAGTGTATTAAAAAAGAGAAGCTTGCTTAGATCACTGCAATGATTTTTTTTACTATTTACTATTAAATATATGCCTGTATCAATTCTACAGCACGCATACATCATATGTATACATATGCCTTCATATAACAGATGAAAATATAAAAAAAAAAAAGAAGAAAAATCAGCAGATATTTAAGCAATGGTTTACGAAGACCGCACGAGTGTGGCTCTTTCAAATGGAATCTTTGCAAGCATTTTTATAGTTTACGTATATATTATTTTTTCTATTCGTATCTATTTTCTTTACTCTTATATTCCCTAGAAAAATGCAAGAGCAATGTAAAGCAATTTCTCATAAGCTACATTTGTATTTATGTCTATAAAATGCAAAATGAATGAAAAGTAATTGCAATTGCAGCCATATAAGCCTTGAATATAAAAATACAATGAAAAAAGTTAATTCTTATAGATACAAATATTATAGGACAATAGGGAGAGATAAAATTACTATCTCTCAAATTCGGATTACTAGGATCTGTTTCCCAACAATTAGGCTCTCATGATTTTAATTCATCACGCGTTTTATTGAATTAATTAGCTATGATCATTTCCTCTATCCAGCCATTCATATATTTTCTTTTAACTTCTCAACTGCATTATGCTTGCATTTACTCAAAAATTGTAGGTTGGCGAGAGCCCTTTTCTTCTTCGTCTGTTGTCTTGAATCGTTTATCAACTTTTCGCTTCACATTGATTTTGCCTTGTATAACATGCATAACTTCATCGACCTCTTTGTTGTCTTGCATTGCATTTATTTCATCAAAATCCATATTTATATATTTTCGACCCTGAAATACGTATAATTTAAGTAAAATGTATTTAGGTGGCCCTTATATATATATATATATATATATATATATATATATATTTTTTTTTATTTAAATACTTCTCATCATTCACGTATGATGCGTGCATATTGCTGTTTCACAATAGGCATGTTTGCAGTCAATCAATGCCCCTATTGGAACATAATGTGTTCATTTCAACCATTTTGTCTTCCTTAAACTGGAATCCAAAATAGCTGCTATTGCTTATGCAGTGCTTTATAACAGAATTTCAGACAATTTTTGTACTTGTACTCGTTTAATGACACAGTATTACACTCTACGGCAAAACCATCGCAACTTTTAATGTTGGTCTTTTACTCCATCTATACGGAACAGCATCTTCTTTTACTGTACATTTACAGCAAATATTATTATCTTCTTTGAAACTTGATATATATCGATACTAAAATTTACATGCAATTCGTATTTTTTTCTAAAAATTACTTTCTTCAGCTAATCAGTGATGATAATCAAGTGCGTAGAGTGAATTTTAGAAATTCAAATTCCATCCTGAAATAGAACAAATGAACTTCAAATATAATGGGCGATGTTCCGTTAAGTAATATTAGGGTGAAAATATATCTAATGAAATATTCAAAAAAAGAAAAAAAAAAAAAAAAAAAAAACACGGTCGGCGGTGGGCCTATGCACAATCACTATAATTTCCTTTTATTGTTTTCACGAGTTATATACGAAGTGGATTTTTTTTTTTTTTTCTTTTTCCTGTTGGGAAATTATATCAAAAGGGAAAACTATTGTTTCCATTTAAAATTGTAATTGTTTTGTTAAGAACTGTATATTTTTTACGGATTTTATTTCACTTTTTTTTCACGTTTGCTCCCCTTTGTATGCTCCTTCGCACATATGAATGCTTATGTGTTTCTCAACCTACCTACATCCATGCATATTTTTCTACATAAAACAACAACATCAACAAGATATCCACTTCTGTGTGCGAGACAATACGAGGCCACACAAAAGATTTTTCACTTGTTTCTTAATCACTTTAATTTCACAAAGAGCATATTAATTTTATATGCAAATTATTTACTGCAACATTGTGCTTATTTTCGATCCATTCATTTCAATTTTTTACACCATCTTAACGATAAAATATTAATTTGAAAATTTCACTCTACAAAATTGAAAAAATTACGACAATGAATTCGTCTGCATATAATAGAATAAACATGTTTTCGATTTGTAATAGATGAGAAGAATTCTGTATAACAGACACTTTTTTTACGATAACAGGGTTACATTTGACTACAAGTAACATCGCATAGTCAGATATTTTTGAAAATTATCAAAAATTTATGGAACTCATGGAATTGACTATTTGACGCGATTTCTCGGTAAAATGTGATTATTTTTCATTCATTATCCTTGCAATGAGCTAAACTATTGAAAAAGTCATCATTATCCGAGATCGTTCATTTTATCTAACAATCTACACCTTATACTCTTAATGGACATATCAAATATTTAATCTAAAAAATATGCAGATAAATGAATACGCGTAGATAAAGCGAATTTCAACACCTGGCAACACTAACATTTAGGGAATTTCACTTACATGCGTTAGTTGCATCTAAAAATTTTATTTATAAGATCTTTGTATTCTTTTATTAAAATCTTGTACGGAAAGTAAAGGAAATCTTGAAAAATGGCTGAGAAAAATGCCGATCAAAGTATTATGGACAAATCCATGAGATCAGTATTCGGTAAGTTTTGGAATCAATCAATATTAAACAGATTTTTCAAAATTAACAAAAATATGCATAACATAGTGGGAAATATTCCATACGAAGCCACTGAAGAAAAGCTTAAGGAAATATTTAGTGAAGTGGGACCGGTAGTATCGCTAAAGTAAGTCTATAATGTTGCTGCAATGAATAATCAATAATTTGTTTATATCTGAAGGTTGGTGTTCGATCGTGAAAGCGGGAAACCCAAGGGATTTGGGTTTTGTGAATATAAAGATCAAGAAACCGCTTTAAGCGCAATGCGTAATTTGAACGGTTATGAAATAGGTGGACGAACGCTACGTGTCGATAACGCTTGTACCGAAAAATCGCGAATGGAAATGCAGCAATTGCTTCAAGGTCCTCAAGTCGAAAATCCGTACGGAGAACACTGCGATCCCGACCAAGCTCCGGAAATTATAACAAAAACAGTCGCCTCCTTGCCACCAGAACAAATGTATGAATTAATGAAGCAGATGAAGCTATGCATTCAAAATAATCCATCGGAAGCACGACAAATGTTAATGTTGAATCCCCAACTAGCATATGCTTTGTTACAAGCAATGGTAGTTATGCGTATTGTGGACCCACCAACGGCTTTGGTAAGATAGAATAGAATATAAGAACAGAGACCACGTTTTAAAATTCAATATATTCAGGGAATGTTGTTTAAAGCCAATCAAATGCCACCAGTTCTCGGAGGAATTGGACCAAATATTATACAGCCGCCGCCTGTAAGTCAACCTACTCCAGTTATGGGCCCGACACCAATGCCAGTACCAGGGCCTAATTTTAATGCAATGCAAGGTAACGATATTGATTTAAGGGCCATGTCTGGCGGAAATATGGGTCCTGCAACTTCAATAGATCCCAGGCTGGCACGTAATATGGATCAAGATATGCGATCCATGCCAAATCCTGTACCTCCTCCACTTATGGATCCACGCGCACAACGTCAGATGCCTCCGCAGCAAGTGAACCTTGCCGTTCCATTTCCCGTTGATCCGCGCCGACAAATGGACCCTCGCTTACGCAATTCTGGCCCTAATCCTGGAGCCGGAGCTGCAACAGTCGCTGGGCTTGCGCAGAGCCAACAAACTGCGCAGCAACAATTGCAGAACCGCTTGGCTTCGAATTGCGGTCTTCCTAACGATGCCTCCGACCAAGAAAAAGCCGCTTTAATAATGCAAGTGCTCCAACTAACTGATGAACAAATCGCTCAACTTCCGCCAGAACAGCGAGCAAGCATCTTAGTGCTTAAAGAGCAAATTGCTAAAAGCACCCAACGCTAAAATCTCTGCCTACCGTAAATTCGAAATAACATATGTGTTTCATTTATTAAAACGTGTGTAAATGTTTATTAGAAAATATTAAACAGACGGCACTAAAGCTTGATATAATTTTTGAACAGCTGTATTAACTATTTGCCGCAAAAGCTCGTCATCGTTTGTTGTAACCGCCTAAAATGTAAAGTAAAAATATTTCAAAATATTAATGCAAAATGAATGATTTAACTCACCAAAGTTTCCAAATTGACTTCAACTCGTTTTCCGGCAACGGTTACCGGCAAAACGTTGCCTTTAAACATTTTGGGAACTGAACTCTCACCGAATGTGTCTTGAAGCGTTTCTAGAAGACATTCTTTAAAGTGAGTACGATCTGACTTCGATTGTGTGTTGGTGCCTTTTATATTTGTTCCGCCCAATTCGGTTTGCATTATACATGAGAGTACCGTATCGGCGTACATGTCATTCACTGGCGTTGCCTGCCACTCCATAACAATTATTTTGCCCTCAACAATTAGATCTATGCAAGAGAATGCTCTCAACTTTTTATTTTCCTCCAATATTTCAACTGTGCCAGCGCCACCAATACGATCTAACAGCAATTTTAACGTTACTATCGAACTATTCCAAGGTATCGATTGTCTTTGCGTAACCACTGACATACTCATGTCGGTATATTCTGAAATGGCGAAAAAAAAAAAAAAAAAATTATCCAGCGTTTAAGCGAAAATCGTTTGCTTACTTGACAAATCCGATGCCGCTAATAAATGATATTTAAAGTCTCTTTTAACCAATACTCCTGATAGTTTATTACCAATTTCAGGCTTTGTAGCGGCTAGGGAACCCATCACTTTTGCAGTTTTTTCTCCCCGGAAATACAATTCCACAGAATGCGTGTTCCGAGGATTATAGAATTTGATATCAGTATTAGGATCCGCCTCATATTCCCGTTGTAAAGCCATTTTCAAGCGTGACATTTCATTCTGTTCACCATGCACTAGAATCTTCAAGGGAGTCGCATTAATTGGATTACATACGCATTATTCTCAATGGGTGGAATGGAACAGAACTTACCACATGCTGCGGTTTTAAAAGTCGTATAAATTCGCTGGTTTGCTGATAGTCAGTGTGCGCCGAAAATGATATATAATCAACAGACATATTTAAGGGCAACTTTTGCCCGGATAGTGTAGTTATCTCTTCGGGTTCGGAGAGTATGGTCTTGGCTAAAGTGCCCTCTACGCAATAGCCCGCGATAATTACTCCATTTTTAGGATCAGTACACCAGTTTTCGAAGAGTTCTCTGGAAAGACCGCTTTGCATCATACCGGGCGAAGCCATAACCACACAGGGACCAATGTCATCAAAATGATCTATACCTTTTAAATTTGAGATGTGGCGAAAAACGAAAGGATTATTGACTGCTATCTGCCGCCTAATCTTATCATTCATAGCATTGATATAAGTTTGGTAAACAGCCATGCACTTCTTCGCCAATGATGAAGCGTAATAAATGGGTATATCGTGCAAATCGGGATTTTGTGACCAATATTCATCTAAAATTAGCAATAGCTCTTGGGCTCTTCCCAAAGCGAACACAGGAATCAAACATCGTCCACCTTGAGTTACGATTTTTTGCACCAACGATGTAAAGCGGTTTTCACGATCTTCACGTTTTTCATGAATATGTGTTCCGTAAGTGGCTTCTGTAATTAAAACATCTGGCTTCATTGTAGGTATTTCTGCTGCCATTAAATGGCGATCTTCTTGTCGGGAAAAATCGCCTGTATACAAAATTTTCACTCCCGCTATTTCTATCATAAACATAGCCGCTCCGAGTACGTGGCCAGCATTATAGGCACAGAATCGTACGCCCATTACGTCGCGTTCTTCGTGAAAATTAATTGTCTCTATCTTTTCCATAGATGCTTCCAAATCGGCTTCTGTATATAACATCTGCTCTGTAGATATATTACTTATTTTAATATAATCGGACAACATCCATCTGTATATCGCTTTGGTCGCATGGGTCATGAAACATCGACCCCGAAAACTAGTTTTCATAAGGAACCACGGCAACGCACCACAGTGATCCAAATGAAAGCTATATACGAATCGGGCTGATTTGTTGATTACAAAAAAAAATTAATATCTTAAAGAAACTCACTGCGATATAAAGAGCAAATCAACTTCATCAGCTTCAATTAGATCTACATAGGGCAAGGCATCCATACCCGACAAACCAGGATGTATTCCGCAATCAAGCTACGATCGATTGAAGAACAACGATAATCTATTGGACATCAATTGCGTCAACGGTAACGAAAGGTATGTCATCACTTACCATAATCTTTTTCCCCTTAAATTCTAACATAATACACGATCGTCCAACTTCTTGACCGGCACCTCTGGAAATATAGAAATTTCCATATAGTGTTTTTATAATATGTTTTTGCATTAATTGTGATACTCACAGAGGTTTGATGAGCAGTAAATCACTTTCCTCAGCCGGAACATTATTTTCCGGTTTTTGTGACATTTTATTTATAACTATTTAGTTGTATATTAGATATATATATATATATATATTTATATATGTGCGTGTATATACAATTGTACAAGATAGTACGAATTTTAAAACCTTTGAATATAACTTTGAAGGATTGCCAAGTTGCTAAACAATCACGTTTTCTTTTGAAGATAAAATAACGATTACATGGGCATAATAATGTTGTATTTACAATTTATACATTTTGATCAAAAAAAAAGGCGCCAAGTTTTTTTTCCTTTATTTTACAACAACCTTCGCAAATATATAAATACCATATCTGATACAGCGAATTTATTTTATGTGCCATGCTCCACTATCGTCAACCTAAAACCCCATTAAAGTGGCTCTAAGTTTGCTCACAATCAAAACATGTCTAAAAGTAGCCCATTTAGGCGAAAAAATTTCTCTATAAGTTATTATAATTTCACACGACTATGTTGTTTTTTAAATGCGATACATGTTAAGTATGTGAACTTATGTTTCGCGCTCTCTAAAAAATTCACATATCACGGCAAATATTATACGTATCGAAAAAAATTAAATTTCCATTTTTCCTAGAAACGTAAGGGGTAACATCGTCCTAAATCGAAAAAAGTGAAATTTTCGGTTTTTTATCAAAAACGTTAGGAATAACATCGTCATAAATCGAAAAAAATGAAAATTTCACTTTTCGACGAAAACGTAAGGGATAACATCGTCATAAATCGAAAAAAATGAAATTTCATTTTTTCGCCAAAAAAGTAAGGGGTAACATCGTCCTAAATCGAAAAAAATGAAATTTCATTTTTTTGCCAAAAAAGTAAGGGGTAACATCGTCCTAAATCGAAAAAGGTGAAATTTTCGGTTTTTTATCAAAAACGTAAGGAGTAACATCGTCCTAACTCGAAAAAAATGAAAGTTTCATTTTTCGACGAAAACGAAAGGGGTAACATCGCCCTAATTCGAAAAAAATTAAATTTTCATTTTTCGACGAGAAAGTAAGGGGTAACATCGTCCTAAATCGAAAAAATGTACATCTCGTTTTTCGCCAAAAAATTAAGGGGTAACATCGTCATAAATCGTCCTAAAATGAAATTTTCAATTTTTCGCCAAAAACGTAAGGGGTAACATCGTCCTAAATCGAAAAAATGTACATCTCGTTTTTCGCCAAAAAAGTAAGGGGTAACATCGTCATAAATCGAAAAAAATGAAATTTTCATTTTTTTTCCAAAAAAGTAAGGGGTAACATCGTCCTAAATCGAAAAAATGTACATCTCGTTTTTCGCCAAAAAAGTAAGGGGTAA